TGTACAGCTTGAGAAAAAATGGTTCTTTAAATGTCTTAATTTAAATTTGCCTCATCTATACAAAACATGTTGGTATTCATTAAATTCCAGTGAAATATATTTATGTTTGTGGTTGTAATGTGACAAAATATGGAAAAGTTCAAGGGGTATGAATACTTTTGCAAACCACTGTATTTACTTCTTGTTCATATAGCCTCTTAACTCTGACCAATACAATCAGGCATGAAAGGGCTCCTAAACTCAAGGGATGAACCAACGTTATGTCAACATATAACAGAAAATATAACTAAGAAGCTCTTTTAAATTAGATCTTTAGACTCCAGGTTACCATTTCTTTGAGAGAATCTATGACAAACACCAGAGACAGAATAAAGAAAATAAGGTTTTAGAAAAAAAACAAGGTCATTTCCAACAAAGTGGTAACTAAAACTGAAATTTGGCACATAGTAGATAAACTAAAGTATGATGCATCTTTCTGGCCCTGTGTCACATCTATGATTGATTCAAGTTGCTTCAAAATTTGACTTCCAGATTCTGCTCATCAGATGCAGAGGGTTTTTACAGGCTTGACACGTCTTCTTTTGTCCTCCTTTTGTCCTATTTTCTTATTTTATTAAGCACACTGCACATAATGTTGTCATGGTCGGGCACAAGGACTGGAAAGAAAATGAATGCCACTCACTTGAACTAACTTAGACAAGTTAGACAAAACAAGCACGTGGACAAGGACAATTTTTGGATCGATGTACGGACAAGTTCAGCCACATCACAATTGTGTTCTCATACCTCAGAAACGCCACTGTTGGCGTTGGGGTTGCGAGGGGCGTGATGGCTCAGAGCGGATAGACAGGCTAGGATGAGGTGGATGGCGCCGATCTCCAGAGCCATGCGGCGCAGCAGCACGCCATCGTCGGTGGTCAGAGGAGTGCTGCTGAACAATGCTCGGAGGACGTGGAACGGCAGCGTAGGCAACACATTAGCGGATGGAGATTGTAGGATGTGGCCTAGAAGAATGTGGAAGCAGACTTTAAACTAAACACAAACCCGATTTTATATAAGTGTAGTGGATAATTTTAAAATTTAAATTCAGGGCAGGTAAGGTAAAAGAAATGGGCTAAAAAGATTACTTAATTTGAATTTCATAAAAAACACTTCCAATATTTCAAGACAGAAATGAAGAATCTTCTAAAGCTGATTCAGCCTAATTATTCAAAGTTTTCGGACAAAGACATTAATCAAAAGAGTCAGAACCACACTGAGTTTGAGACTGCTTTAACACTTTTACAGATTCTGTCAGTGCTGGCAGCTAGGTGGTGTTTCCAGACTTACTGCCTTCTCCATCGTCGGTGACACCCAGCACCAGGCGCAGCAGACACTGGGCGTGCTTCCGCTCCTTCAGCAGCACCTCGGCGTAGCCTGGCAGCCGCAGGAAGAGGCCGAACGCTGCCAGCGAGTGAGCGGGGATGGGGGACATGGTCTGTACCGAGGAGGAGGAGGATGAGGAAGAGGATGACTGGGACTGCTGCTTGTTGACAGGAGGCGGCTCAGCGGCAACAGACTCCGGCGCCTCGTACACCAGCTCTCCTGACTGCTCGATGGTCACCCACTCAAACTGGTCGCTATCCTTCGGCTTCTCCTGCGTGGAGGAGGGAACCACAGGGGTGCTGACCTGAGAACAAACCGTTCAAGAGGATTGGTGCACAGCAAACACAAGTGATACCGTGTTTATACCAGACAGAGATCTGCACTGTGAAAACTTGGTAAAATTAAATCTTTCAGTAAATGGATGAAAACGACTGAGAGCAAAGATTTATATACACAACTTGTTGGGTTTCCTTTTAAAGGGAAAAAATAGATCAATGTTGCATACATGCTCAGYCATTTATGACATAAGAACAGATGTGGAAATTAGACTGTATATGTATAACTGAGTACACATAAATGTGTATCCAATAAGTCTGTGATCAATAGAAAATCATTGCTTATAATTGTGTTTAAACAAATAAAGTAGCACATGTAGCAGACCTTAAAATGTAAAATGTATTACAAAAAATGAGAAATCTTTGAGATAAAATCTTAAACATTACTAAACTTCCAACATATGTTAACACAGTGTAATTTAAAGTCACCTGCTGAATGACATCAGGGTAGAGCATAGGCAGCCTCTCTGCAATCAGGGCCAGGCCCCCCATGCCAGCAAAGACCTGCAGTGGTGACTGGATGGGGCTGGTCTCGAGGAGAGACTCGTCCGTTGCAGCGTCCAGACATTCTTCAGCAGCCGCCATGGATTCTTCGTCAGGACAGCTGTTCAGCAAGTCACAGTGATCCACTGCAAGGASAGCAAAAACAGGACCTGTTGTATGTTCATGCACTACGTGGCTTCTGAGCGATTTGTAATAAATACACCTGTCTGTAACTCTGAGTTTACAATGAAAAGAATCTGATCCGGGGAGTTTCTCTCTCTTTTTAAATGAATCTTTTGTTCCTTTTCAGTCATTTCACTCAGTACAACACATAGTTGTATATGGGACACGTGCGCCTGGCTGAAGCCACCTCTAATCACATCTTTAGACCAGTGACGTGGTGACGTTGAACGTCGGGTGACAGGCTCCGCCTTCACCCTATAAGTTCGGAGTCACCAGCATCATTACTCAGTTCTATCGCCCTTCACCTCGCGRCAGTCATCTCTGAACCTGAGCTCACATAGCTGCTGCTAGTTAGCTCAGCTTCTAAGGTTCTTAGGCTAGCTTTACTGGTGCTAACCGCATTACCTGCTGGTTCGTGTGTCTGCCCCTCGACGCTACTTAAGTGACCTTTATTTTCTGCTGAAAATCTGTTTTGTGGTTCACGATGACCACAAAACCACCTTCGAAGAAGTCGAAGTCTTCTGTTCGCCCCTGTCCTCAGGGGTGCGGCTTTAAGCTTCATGGGAAGGACCAGCATGAGGCCTGCCCGGCCTGCCTAGGAATCATTCACACTCGACGGGTGCTTGTGGAGCCCGAGTCCTGCCGGGCCTGTGCCGGACTTTCACGTCCGACACTGGAGAGGAGAGTGAAATTCCTGGAGAAAATGCTGGGGGAAACTGGTGTTTTCCGACAAGACCCGCTGCTCTCCGAATCCAGCCAGATGGCTCAGTCTGACGAAAACGAGGATTCGGCGGTCGAAGCCCCCGCTGCTAGCTGGGCAGACCAGATGGAGCACGAGGCGGCCTCACCCGACATCGAGGGGGACGAGACCCAGTTTCTACTGGATCTAAACCAAGAGGAGGATGATGTTCTGCAGATGGAGCAGGAGGTTCTCAGTCTGTCCGAAGATGACGAGGAGCCGTGACCAGCTCACTCCACCCCCGCTGGTGCGAGGGTGGACCAGGATTCGTCCTTCTTGTCCCTGTGCCGCCGAGCTGCTGCTAAACTGGAGGTACAGTGGCCTGACCCCCCACCTGCTCAAAAGCCATCGAGGTTCGCAGGGTTTTATCTCCCGTCTGAACCGGCTGATGTGAAGCACCGTCTGCCTATGTTTCCRGACTTTGTGTCAGAGCTGACGTCTTCCTGGAGCAAACCGCTGTCCATCCGCGCCTTCGTGCCCGGACAGGGTCAGTACTTGGACGTGGAAGGGGCAGACCAAGCAGGCCTGGTGGGCATYCCTCCGATGGAGCCTTCTTTAGCCACTTATTTGGCTCCGTCTCACAACCAGGGTGTGAGCGGGCCCACCCTGCTCCTTTCCAAGCCCTGCAGATTCTCTTCGGCACAGCTGGAGAAAATCTACAAAGCCCAAGGTAACACCGCCCGTGCGCTGAGCTCCGTCACCATGCTTCAGACCTATCAGGCCATGGCCTTGGCTGAACTGGCACCTCAGATGCCGCAGGAAAACCCCCTTTTACCCCTGCTGAACGAGATCAGACTGGCATCAGACCACATCCTGCATGTGTCCCGCTGTGCAGCGCTGGCTCTGGGGAAAGGAATGGCTTCTACTGTGGTGGCGCAGAGGCACCTGTGGCTAACGCTCTCAGACGTTCCCGACAAGGACAGAGAGGCCTACTTGGATGAACCGATAACGCCTACAGGACTGTTTGGTCAAGCGCTTGATGTCATCCAAACCAAATTTGAACAGAGGAAGAAGCAGGCTGAGGCACTTCGCTGCATCATCCCCAGACGCGACGCGAGGCCCAAGGCACCGAGCACATCCAGGTCTGCGTCTCATCCTCCTCCGTTCAAGAAGGCGGCGACGCCCGGGACTTCAAAGGCCCAGACCGCCGAATCTTCCAGCAAGCCGCAGCCTCCCCGTCAATTGGCATGGAGCAAAGGCCCCCCTCCGAGTCAGCAGGACAGTTCAGCGGCTCGGAAGAAGTCAAAAATGTTTCTGAGTGCTGATCAGTTTCTATTTATACCAAATTGTTCTTACATCTTGTGCTGAGCAATTGACCTTTTACACTAACAGAGTGTAAAACGGTTACCATTCATCACCCCTGCACTGACCATACGTATAGATCGTTAATAGACACCAGATCCAGGCAACCAAACGCAGGGTCAAAGCTATGCTTCATTTATAGTCAACATTATAAYGAAAATGTGCCATCTTTATAACAAATTCCAAATACTGTTTATGAGGAAAAAAACACTTGTTCCAATTTTTGGAGGAGTTTTAGACAAGTTGTGATATYATAAAAGCACACAAAAGCCTATGTCTTGTGATCTAGGGTTATTTGAGGCTACAGCCTTGAATACCCAGGCTTAACCACGTGGGTGATTAATAATTTTTAAAAACCCTTTCAAAATTAATAATCTGTTMTAGAAGTGTACAACAGAAGAGTTGTTCATCAAATGTGCTTTTATTTACGATCAGAGGGTTTGATCTGATGATCAAATGTAGGACAAAAAAATAAATTAAGGCAAATTGTTGAAAACACAAACATCTTCTTTATATTGTCAACAAAAAGAAGACACAAATTTTACTTATCTTGAAAAATTCCTGAACATCTCTTGTTTATAATGCAAAACCTGGAGTTAAGCATGACAAAAGTAAGAAATTTGTTGCTCTTCTCCCATTGCCTTAATGAAATTTTAAGAAAGACAAAAAGTTTAACAGACGTGTCTGAAATTCCCAAACAGGATTTGTCTGTTTTCAGTTCAGTGATGGTCAAAAGGATTTCATTGTTATTTTGTCTGAGGTAGAACAAGACATGACCTTTTCTAAAATTATTTTAATTTGTATATAGTTTTGCTGATTAAATGCAAACAGAGCAATTTAAAAGAATAGAAAAATGAGAGGTGAAACGTCAGGGTACCAGGGCACTTCTGTCAATTCAACAGTGATGACGTCATCAAACAAGACACGAAACATTAACCTGACCTCGTACTGACCCATGAGTCTGCACAATCAAACAGCTAAATATAATACGCTTTAGAGTCAACACATCTCTGGACCGATGGAATTCTATTGTAGCTTTGGAATGTCAGCAGTTTCCTCCCTGTTAGGGTCCGTCCTGACCGAACGTCCTTCAGTATTCATTTCATTATCTGACTCACTGGGTCAGACGGTCGCAGCAAGAGGATACAAATCAAACCACAAACATACTTTGAGCCAAAATTAGGAGTAGCGCTGGCAGAGTGGCTTAGCTCCACAGTAATGTTTCCCAGAAATCCATGAATGTCAGACAAAAGTGGGTGTAAGGATCAAAAATGMTTTTACAGATCAGAGCAAATTATTGTAAGAGAAGTGATCGTAACTAAAAACCATGTGTTCCTAATCTATCTACAACCTCTGTAATGTCTTTTTTTTAGTGGAGTCCAAAAACAGATAAGTCGAGCAGAACTTCATTAAAGTCTTGTTTAATGAACTTTAATGACTGTAAGACTCCTGTTGTTTTGGGAGAATCTTTAGTGAAGATCAACATATTGTTTCTCTGTATTTTGACATGTTGGACTCTCCTGCCACCTAGTGGTGTGGCATGGTTATTTCAGCATTTTTATTAGAAAGTGTGGATAGAGAAAAATATGTTTATAAAAATATCTGACATTAACTGTTAACGTGGATGTAGTTAATAAGTGGCCAATCATGATAAAAATGTGTCATGTAAACACACTGATTGGAATATTCAGACTGGATTCAGCTCGATTAGAATGAAGTTGAAATGAGAGGGGCGGTTTATGRCGACAGATAATCCAAACGGAGCACATGGAAATACTTCTTCTGATTATTCTGGCTGAGRAAGCCTGACCTGACTGTGCATGTTTTAATCCATRCGCATGTATTCTAGTATTGCGCCGCTTAAGTTGGCAGCATGTTGGAGTAGCTCTGTTWCATTCATTCAGAGATATTATGTTTAAACTTGACACTAGACACACTACAATCAATAGAGGCTGACTGTAAAGTGTCAATTCACCAAGTAGAAATCCCACACCCTTATAATCTGCAGCGCTGTAGCGTCAGTACCTTTCTCAGTGCGCAGCCTCTTGAACGAATCGGTCTTGGAAAGACCAGGGTCGGAGATAACCTTGGAGCCCAGTTTGACTGTCAGGTTGATGGACTGGTAGCCCTGTGGCAGCTTACGGTCGTACAGGAGCGTCAGCAGCTGAGCCAGGGTCATCTCGGGCGGGAGGGGCTGACCTGGAGGGGAAAATTAGAAAACTAAAGTTAGTAATGAGCTGTGGCTGCTTCGACCTGAACACCTTTGAGTGTTTGAGTGAGGGACCTGGAAGAAGCTTGTGGTAGAGATGGAAGACAGGCACACTGATGGTTTTTGCTGAGGGGTCCACACCTGAAGACGCAGTCAGCTTGTCACTCAAGACGCGACCCCTCCTTGAAGGAGGTCGGGGAGGTGTTGAAAGAGCCCGTTTGGACTGAGACTTCAGACCTGACGGCAGAGACAGACGGATCAGTTTGTCTCACTGACAGTAACACAACAGAAACCCTTCTCAGAAATAAGAGAAGGAAACTTTATCAGTCCTAATAATCTGCAGGGTGTTCTTCACAGCTTCAGCCAAAGATGTGATGAAAACAACAGAACAAAAAGAGGCAGAACTTGACATTCAGTGTATTCACCTTAGGCAGTACATTGAGTTACAAACAGACACAGTCAAATCATTTTACTCCAACAACTCAAAACACACCCAGGTGAGCTCACCTGCACAACATTGATCTCCTAYTGTTTTAATACTAGTCAATTGTTTAGACTTTCACACTTCATCATGTGGTCAAAGTCAATGAAATATAGGGGTGTAACGATTGCAGTTTTCTGGCCGATCACTGACCTTTAAAACGTCTGACCACCTGACGACATAGATTTTTAAAATAACTGACTGTCAGGTGTTATAAAGTTACAATACACCTTCAATGTTCCARTTTTATTTTACTGAAAAATAGATCACCACCCTTGAAAMAACACAAACTTGTTTTAACTGGATATTAGGTAGTGCTCACAGGACAGCAAAAGAGGACAGTGGCTGATTTTCAGACTTTTGTGGAGGTAGATAAGCCGATCCTTTCCATCACTCTCATCTAAATTATCATCCGATCTCCCAAAATTAAGGAAATCTGTGCCAATAAATCGGCAATCGGTGCACCCCTAATTATATACTAATGAAACCTACTGAAAAGTTGTTCTTTCAAATCAWATATATTGTTTGTTCTGCTATAAAATTTAAGCTGAGTGTTAAATGACAATTTCTAGTTGCCTGCAGAAGATCATTTTACCTTCACTCTCTATAAAATGTCCCAACTCCCTTTCATCAAACATCCTCCCTCATGTCACCTCACAAACACAGGAGGCTGCAGTCACCAAAATACTGTCGTTTACAGGTGTAGCTCTGTCATAGTAGACCTCTCAAAATTAAACTATGATAAAATAAAAGGGCTTTATGGGGAGGTGGATCAAAACCTGTACTCYTATTAAAAGCACCGGGGCAGAGCTCAAACAGCTTGATACACTACTGCCATCTTGTGGTTGTATTAGTGGCACTAACAGGTGCAGAGTGCAAAAGAAAACAAAAAAAAAAGAACATTTTTGACTCTCAGGAGTCAACACATAACTAATGAGTGACGTAATGATTGGCTTTAAGGAGAGTAAGTGTATTTGTGTGTTTCGATGGAAACCTTTTTACAATCTGAGACACCAAACTGCTTTTCATGGCTTCATGTAATTTCAGAGGTTCAGAGCTGTACCTGAGGCCACGACAACACTGTAGTTGTCCTGGAAACCACTGTCTGCCTTCATCTTCTCCTTCTCCTCGTGATTCTTCTTCTCCTTGTCTTCCTTCTGCTCACTGATCAGCTTGGCCGTGATGCTGGGTGTGTCTGTACGGATGGAAACATAAAGTATGAGTCTCAGACACAATCCCATAATAGTAGTGATGTATCAGGTTTTCTATCAGCTGTTCAAGGTCTCCAGGGCTGAGCCATTAATCATGTACACAGCTTGCTAAAAGCTAACTGGTATTACTGCAGCTCGAAGCATCAGTGAGGGTGACCTTGATGACCGGAGGATGTCCCATGAATTAAACCACAGGAACAGGATCGAGCCACAGTGTGCGGTCCAAAACAAAGCAATAATTAAACCTGCTCTCATTTTATGTGAAAAAATAATTAATCAAAAAAATCAGGGTTTTTAAATAAAGTTTAATACACCAACTTCATTAGCCACCTTCACCGGTTTCTWAAGACAGAATTTAAAAAAGCTGTTAGTAAAAAAGTAAAAAGTATACAGAATTATACGAAGAAGTTTATGATAACTYAACCTGGTATGCAGTCGTATAAAGCTGACTGACAGCCAACAGCAACAAGAGTTTTATTGTTCTCAAAATGACTAAAGAAGAATCTCACACTGTCTCAGACATTTTAAATAAAATTTAAACCTCAGAATCAAGATTATTTTTAAATGAGTGATTTTTGATGTTTAAACTTACTTTCAATAACTAATTATAACGTGGAACAGAAACAGACCCCATCTAACGCAAAGCACACATGGTTTACTTTAAATTCAAAATCCAAATAAAACAGGTAATCAATGAGCTTAACAAATGTTAGTTTAAATCTGCTGGTCTGCTCAACAGACTGAGGTGAAGGAGGAAAATTAACTGTTTGTGTCCATAAATGCAATTCTAATAATATTAGGATATTTCCTGCATGTTGAGAAATAATACCACTTAGTAGAAAATAAAGAACTCATAAACACACCAGATACACGGTCCAGGACTTCAGCCAGTGTGGTGGAGATTGGCAGATGCAGAGTGCGGTATTTGTGGCCTGCTCCATACATGGGATGTTGAATCATGTGGCTGGTGGCATTGATACGTCCTTTATACAACTGAAATAAACACGACAAGTTTTGGTTTAGGTGAAAWTTTTAAYAACTTGCKAAACTTCCCCTTTTWTCRGATTCAGAGCATTTCCCACATCATTGTTACATGATGCAAACTAACACACCTTACTCYGGCCACYRAATTAATGTTAGTAACAGAACAATWTAAAAATAAATGTTCAATTAATYTGAATATGTATRCAAATGAGAAACTGCTGCAGGARCRTAAACTGTTTTTGGATAGGGGGTTTGCAACCAGAAATACTTTACAAAATAATTTAAGGTTACTGACCGGACAGGGAGACTGGAGGAAGACCGTGACCTTCTCATCCTCCAGCATGAGTTGTAGAAAAAGTCTTCTGATGAAGCCTGAGATGTTTCTGGAGATCGGTACATTCCCTCGCTGAGGAGCAGACTGGAAGAGCTCACAAAGAACCTGMAGCGAGAAAAAACAAAGACTTAGGAAATAAAATAAAAACTTGCTAGGGAAAAAGACAAATGAGATGTTATTATTAAGCATCTAAGGCAAAAACATATTATAACGCTACTGGTATAATAATATATTGTAATAAGGGATGTATTGTGTATTTTTCAGGCACATAATTTAATTCTACACCACAATCAATAACTATGTGAAAATCAAATATATATAAACATTTTGAGGGCACAGCTTTGTGTAAATAGGTGGTGCTTTGTACCAGCAAGTGTTTAGGCAGATCCTCACAACTACAGGAGATGCAATGATTTCTCAAACATGCATGAATGAATCAAAGAAACACTCTGGGCATGTTTTTAATGACGGAATGACATTATGACATGATATAATGCTAAAAAAAGTTAATTTTGCATAATATCCCCCTTTAAAATAACTGAGGCAAATGTCACCTATTTATAACTGATGTGAAGTGTAYAAACTGTGATGTACTGTCAAAATGAGGAGCGATGTTATTTTTTCATTATAAGAACAGAGGTCACTGGCTGAAAACAAAACCTCAAAATTGAAGAAAAAGCAGAAGTGACAAACCCTTCCAGCAGGAAAGCACTGGAGTCAGAACGTGTCAACTATCCCAAATATTTAAGCATAAAAGATAAACCTATGATTGATTACTTTAGCAGATTCATGTGAATTTAGTGTTCTATGAAAGTAAAAACTCAGTGAAAAAGAAAATCTGACCTGAGCCATGAGCCTCTGGTTATTGGGGTGGCAGGAGATGCACTGGAGAAAAAAGGCCACGGTGGCGTTCTCCAGAGCCGTCCTCTGCTGCGTGGTGAGACCTCCGGTCTCCCCAGAGGACAGCGAGGAAAAGCGGGTGCCTGAATGCTGGGCCTGGGTCGGTGGGGGCGGCCCTGCAGCAGATCCAGAGCTCSCTGGCTGAGAGCCGGTGTTTGTGCTTGTGCTGGCACTGGAGTGGCAGAGCAGGAAGAGCAGCGCGGTCCACAGCGGGTACACCTCAGGCCCTCCCAGCCAGTCTTTCATGGTGTGACTGCTGCCGACTTCRGTGAGGAACCTCAGCACCGGAGCGGCGAGCTCTGCGGCCAGAGSCGGCCGACTCTGCGAGGATGAGGAGGGCGAGTGGTAGTGGTGGTGCCGCCTGTCRGCCTGAGCGGCAGGCAGGGGGAGGTCAGCGCTGATCAGGAGGCTGACGCAGAACTGAACCAGGCTGCGGACCAGCAGCGAGGGCAGGCCCGAGTCCAGCAGCTGCTCTATCGCTCCAGGAGACTGGGAGGCAGCTGACAGCGTCATCAGCTGGGACTCTGACAGGTTAATGGGGGGTCTAGCGTGCTTGGAGTCATCTGTAAGTCCTGAGGTGTTTGCGTTGGCGTCGTGCTGCTTCTTTCCATCATCGGTCATGGCGAGGCGGCGCTGCTGGGCCTGAGAGTGCGTRGCACTGGGAATGGAGACGATGCCCATCCAGAACATGAGCAAGGCGAAGTAGCTGGGGTGGATATGACACATGGAGCACAGCAAGCTGTCCACAGCCTTCTTCAGTACAATGTTGGATGGTAGTGACATGGACCAGTTGTAAAGCAGCCTGGAGGAAAGAAGACAGAACAGAATCAGTAATAACATGAGAACAAGGAAGGTGCGTGAACCTGCTGCGATTAGACAATAACTGACTCAAAGAGCTCTCTGTTGAGGAGAGCAGGGAGGTCGTAGTCAACCGGCAGCTCATAGCTGTGCCACAGGATTGCCGCCACACAGTGGAGGTGGGAAGGAGACGGCATGAGGAGGCCATACTCCCTCGAAGAAGCAGAGGAGGAGCCGGAACCAGGGAAACCCATCGTTGCGCTCATCTTATTGGCTGCCACTCGAGAGGAGTCGTGCACCCACTGCAGAAGAGCCTGGATCCTGGAAGGTTAAAGGTCCGAATCAGATAACTAAATCAGAACAGGAACTATCGTTTGCCCATAGCTGCTTAACGGTTTAATAAATAAATGTTCAATTCAGTTTTATAAAGAAACCCATATAGAAGGGTGTGAGGACAATGAACAGAAAAATTATTATTTCTAAAAGTGAAACCGATTAAAGGATTAAAGATTTGCTGCTTTGTATACCGGTCTTTGGTCCCAGAATCCTGTGTAGTCCCCAGCTGGTACAGAATATCAATGGTGGAGTCAGAGGACAGACCGTTGAGCCTCCCGAACAGCAGGGGACTGTTCAAATCTTTAAGAGAAAAAAGACAGGTTTTACAATTATTACACCTTTATAACAATGGGAACTAATAGGAGCTGTTTCTGAACAAAAGAGAATTTAAATCTAATTAGTTAAATCTAAAGAACAAAATACTGAAACTACATATGAGGCTTTATAAAGACAAAAATCTAACCAGATTGCTGCCTCCAGTCAGTTGACATACAGATTGGCAGATAATAAAATAAATTGATTTAAATTTGCTTGTTGCGTGTGACTCACTGGCGGGGTCGGTGCCAGAGGCGGCGCAGTTTCTCAGCAGAATGTCGATGAGTTTCAGTCCGATTTTTGTGGACTGCAGGCCAATCTTGACCAGAACAGCCTCRATGTTGGGAGAGTGCATGCCACAGTAAGGTGACATGAGCAGCGCAGCGCATGTCTGCAGCAGATTAGCTGTGGGGGCTGCGGCGCTGGCCATCATGGCCTCCAGGTCGCTGACATGGGTCAGGCAGTGGTGGAGGAGACGAAGCCACCCGATGCTATGTGCAGAGACGGAGCGGGTCAGAAAAAGACCTCACGTGTATCACGTATGAAGTTGTTCAAAGCTTAGAAAACGTTAGGGGTACCTGGTTTTGGAGACTTGGTCCTCAGAAGGCAGAAATGGGTTGTTGACTGTTGCAGAGGAGGTGTTTCCAAACGCTGTAAGACCTAAGAGTTTGATCTGAGATAAACCCAAAGAGCTGGCATCTCGAGGCCGGTGCAGCCTCAGGCAAACAGCAGATGCAACCTCTGCTTTTACCAACTGGATCTTTATGTATGTTAATCCACTGGTGATGACTGGTGTGGAGAGCGGCAACATGTTGACCCCGTCGGCACTGATCTCCACCGAAACTGAGGATGGGCATGCTGTGTGGTAGAAGGAAGGAAACACAGTAAAATTAAATAAGAAGAAGCATAAAACATTGTTCCCTTTCAGTCAATTCACTCGGTACAACATCATGTATGGGAACCACGCCCCTGCGTGTCCTGGC